CGGCTGAGGATAGGTCATGTTCGTGCATAATAATAAACCAGTCATATATACAAACGTCACACACCACATATCGCGGCAACTCTCTCGTTTGGACGCGCGGCCGTCGGGGATCGTAAATCATGCAATTTCACGTTTAGCGTTTGTGTAAATATATATTCATCTCTATTTATAAACACATGCCGTCTATAATAAAATCATTTTGCTCTTGGAGCAGGTGGGAGACTTTCCAGCGCAAAAGTAAATCGGTTTTTAGAACAAAAAACAGCTTGATTTTATTAACCGTCACTTACGCAGTATAGAAAGTTTATATGAATGATACTGAGCATTAATCCTTAATCCCACATGATTGAAAGCCAACACGGCAAACAAATGGTTTAAACATGTAAATTTATTTTATGATCACACTCATATAACACACTTCTATTTTTATTTACAGTCTATAATTTATAAATAAAAAGTTATAAGACAAAAAATTATTATAGCTTTTTTTACAACGCTCAGCTAATTTAATGAAGTATTTTGATGTTGTTATAAATTGTTTGAATTTAAAAAGAAAAACGAAAAAGTATGATTTAATTACATAGGCAAAAATTAAATTTATTTATTTTAGAGATAATTATTGATTTTATTTTTGACAATGCTGTCATTCAATCCTTTGTTGCACTAAAATCCCAATTAATAGGGTAATGGAGCTTTTGTTTGTTTACATTCTTGACCTTTTTCTACAAAACGTTGCGCAACGGATTGCATTACTCTCGCTCTCGACATGAATGGTTTTCCTCCAGCCAAGCCTCCAGTGTTGGATTACTTGCCAACCCACTGTTTAAATCTATTTAATTACTTCATATACATTACGCCTATACTAATCGAAAGCGTTGGTTTTGACGTTACAAAACCGATATCGCAGATAAGTAAGGAAACCGCGTCCAGGTTTTACAACTGACGTGAGAAAAATATTAACAAAGAAAATAATTTTAAGTCCTTACAAAATATGTTTTAAATATTCGACAAAAAAAAATAGAAATTTTAATTAAAAAAAAAAACTTTTGATAATAACCAAAGGTACCACATATTGTGTTAGAGAAATGACACAGGATTGTGTAGTTGTTATTATTTTTTCAATCATCTTCAGCCTGAATCTGTAAATATTTTTTACTTTGCAAATTATTTTTAAATTTGTTTCAAGTGTTGCATACTTTTTAAGACTACTGAAGGGGTGAATAAAGGTGAAAAAATTCTAGCGGTTGCTTTAATATTTAAATTTATGCAAATTAATTTGGGGAAATTTTTTACTAAATCAGGTTTTCATTTATGTATAATAATGTATATTTGAAATTTTCATAACTTTTTACTTCCTGGAAAAACCGTGAAGCTGAAGTTCTACATTTTAAAAATTTTCAGTTTTTGGCCCCCAAAAAAGAAAAACCATTAAAATCACTCTTGCCATTTTAAAACTCTGGCGACTGGCGAAAAGTATAAATCGCAATTTACAAAGGCAAACTTAATCGATCTGCAGAGTTGTTAATTCGTCCAGCACACGTATATAAATAACGCAATACATAAAATAATTGAAAGAGCGCGCGGCGTTTATGATAATATTCGTAATTTATGTCGGCGCATGAATTATTTATGGCGGCGTGCAGCTCTGCAGTGCATTAAACATATAATTGCACTCGGCGCGCAATCCAGTTTTCGTTCTTCTTTCTTTCACTCCGCATACGATCTTGGCCGGGCGAAGTTAATTGACTGCCGCGCGGCCGAGACAAAGGAATGCTTATTAATGACAGATGGACGGAAACTTGAGTCACTTCGCGGCACCGGCGACGGATCGTGTCGCAAGTACTGAATCAAGCAAGAAGTGCATAACATATTTATATGCGTGCAGTACTATGCGATTGTGCGGTTTGACTCGCTGCACGAGATGCAACCACCTGAAAGACGGGCCTCGGCAGAAAAAATCTTACTCTGAGATGCTATCAGGAATAATATTTTGATTCCGAAACTCACTCGGCTTGTTTGAGAGCAAGGATGAGGGAAAAAATTTCAAATTGAGTAATCAACTGAAATTGAATTCAGTACTTATTGTTAGCAACAAAGGCTGAAATTGAATTGCAAAACTTAACATTGCTTTGGATATTAAAATTTTAAATTTAATTACATAATGAATATAAGTATATAGAGATAAATAAAAACCTTTCCTTTTTCAAATTCAATATGTATAATTTAATTTATTTGAATATTTTTAAATTGCCACAAAATGAAAGCAATGCTTTTTTTAAAGCATTTATGAAATATTTAGATTTCTTTACATTTTAATATTCTTGAACATTTATTTTGAGAAAAAAAATTACAATTTAGGCCAATATTTCTATGATCCAATATAAGAATTTTTAACAAACATTTTCCGTGATTTTAGTGACAAAAATCAAGCAATTTGCAGATTTTGTGAGAGGCCAGGAGAGTTTTCAGTTGGCCCTGAGAGTGAACCAATTCGTGCGCCATGTTTATGCATGAAGACCAATCCATCCCCCGAGAGGCTGAATTGGTTCAAAATCACTTAATTTATATCGCCGACCGGCACGAGGCCATCCAACAAGTCTATCACCGATGCAGGCCAAATAGCGTTTTATTTGAGGACGGTCTTTGCTCATGCTTTTGTTCAACTCTTGCAGGAATCCATCACGCTTGCCAAAATGTGTCGATTCACAAATTTATTTTTTATTTCTTAACCACTGAAAGAAATTCGAAATCGGATTTTCGGACACCTGCTTTGGCACAGCCTCAAGGCAAATCGTCAATTAGTGGCTCATCAGGTGACAACTTTAGCCCGGTGCTTTTTTAACCTCAATTAAACTTTGCTAAATACGATTAAGTCTGCCGAGTTTTATTTTTACTTTGTTAAAATAAAATTTATTCACCTGCAAAAAACGAAAAATATAAAAAAAGTTTAAAATTTTTCAGGATCTTATAATATAAATTTGAAAGGAATCCGAGAGTGATGTAAGCAGCTCGGCACCAAATACCAAGTGTCAAGTTCGAGCATTTGCGTGAGTCATGAGCCGAGTTCGTTATCTGCGGCGTTCATATATTTGCTCTGCTTATCGCGGCATCAATCCTTGTGCGAGGCCTCCGCTGCTTTGCATTTCGCGCGCTTTGTGCGCCCACGCAGCCGGCAGATTCGCGCAGGCCGCACACAATGGGACAAGGTGGATGGCATGAGAACCCAGACGCCGCGCATTTATTTATGTTGTGATAAGTTCCGTAGTATGCGCGACATGTAGGGAATACCGTCGCGCGGGAAAACAAACTGCAAGTTCTTGCTTGTCTACCTAGCAAAACAAAAAAATTACTTTGTAAATATCAAGGTAAAAAGACTGATGCTTTAAATTGTTTCAAAAGTTTCTATGCTTGTTTCAATCAAAATAACTTCAGAATAAAAAAAAAATTTGAAATGTAAATAACCTTCACAAAATTCTACCTAATATTTTAGAAATATTGACACCAAACATTTGCATAACAAAAAAAGCTATTGCTTTCATTTCAATTAAATATTTTAAAAATAATGTGAATTATTTTTGTTATAAATTTAAATTGACAATGCTAAAAAATAATAGCAAAAACTGCAAACCAGGCATTATCTTAATCATTGATCGTTCAAAGATGATGCAACAAAATAACAAAACTTGAAAATTGGCCCCAAAATTATCTTTACTCTGAAATGTGTACAATCCATTAAAAGTTTGTAAATAATTTTTTGAAACATTATTATATTTGTCTACTTTGATTCAATATTTTGCCCCTTGCATTTTATGCATCGCAGCTCAAAATTTATTTTCAATTCAACTTGAGAGGCAATCAACGTCGCAGAGTTGCTTGTAATTAATTGAATTAATTAAGGAAGTCCTCTTCCTTTGATCTCGCGGAGTGCAAATATTGTACTTTCCTGCCTGCGCTTACGGTAGCGCGAGGCGCACTTGCACCGCGGCTTTGCGAATGCACAAGAGAAAGAGAAAAAAATACACACTCGACCGCGACCTATCCCACACGCAATAACTCTTACGCCATTATGTACTTGTTTTTTTTTCTTTCGCCCGACTTCCGCTCGCTGGGAGAGCGTGCTTTGCGCCGAGCGGCAATAATAATTAGCATACACTGGCCGGCATTGTGAGGGGGGTTTATTTGCATATGCAGCGGCGCTTTGCATTGATAAGCATGTGAATCCTCTCAAAGGCGGCGGCCACTCCCACACCGTCTGGCACCGCAGTTCGGGTCAGGGCTGCCAATTTTCATTTAAAGGCCCCCTCGAGCTACGATTCTTATTTTTGTGAATCTTAATTAATTTTATAAAACAAAATCACAATCACGAAGAGATGAAATGAGTGTTCATCTAAGGTTAAACTATCTCCGTTAAAATCTTGAACAACAATAGGAGCCATTTTTGGCAATCATTCGAAAACGATTAAAAATTTTAACGACTTGATTCACCTTCGTCAATATAGAGTTCTAAATAATCCTAAATATAATTGAAATTTTTAATTGACAATCAAATCAAGGTTCAAATAATGCTTTTGGAGGGAAAAAGTAAGCCCGTTTCAATTTTATGTTATGCCCACATTAATCGTACTAGAATTCAAGAATAAAAATCAGTACTGGAAAGACCCTTTAATTTTTAGCTCAGCTTGATTGCGGTTGATCATTTCTTTTGTTTTATTCCGCAGGGGGAAGACGGGTTATTTTCACTGTCGACACGCAGGAATGTGCGACAGGGAGAAAGAGTAAGTTCAAAGTTGACGAACTTGAGAAGTGACGCAGAGGAAAACAACGCCGGAATTTCGAATGGGGCTGAAGAGGAGGAGCACGCGTCTTATTTTGACTTTCCTGTGTTTTACACGAGATCGGAAGGAAAGATCCATTTTCATTTAAACCCGCTCCTTTCCAAAATACAAAGTGGCTAAAAGGCTGTTGAGAATTTTGAGGGGTGCTTTTGAAAGAGTACTCACTTGGTCCCACTGCAACCAGAAGATGATGCTGCGCGGAAACCTCAGGGGACCGCCGATTGGACTGGAGCCGTCTGCAGACTTCTGTTCTCGCAGCACCGCACTCAAAGGGCGGCCCTCCTGCTTGAACACTTCCAGAGCCCTGCGAAGCAAGAAATCGATTTTAAATTTTACTGAGAGTGCAAGGAAGTTCAGTTTTAAGAGAAAAAAATTATTTTTGTTTCTATTATTTGTGAGAAAAAATATGAATATAGTATTCGCCAACAACGGCGGATGAGAGAGACGTTTCGGACTGAGCGGGTTGCCTAGCTTCAGATTTATTTTCTTAAGACCAAAATATTTTTAACTTTCAGAATTTTAGCAAATTTCAATCTCTACAGCTAAGAGACGCGATGCTTAAATTATTATCGTTTGGTGATTTTTTGAAAATAATTTTTAGAATAGAATACAATATTTACTTAACACCGTTGATTTACAACAATAACAATAACATTAAAACTAAATAATCATTATTTTTATCAACATCGAAATTTTCCCTGATAAATTTATTATCAAGACAATAATAAAAGAAAAATTGTACTCATTATTAAAAAATATGACAAATCACTGAAGATTAAAAATACTAGCCGTTTTCTTCTTTTTAAATAATTAATCTTTCAATTAAATCACAGTGAATTTTATTAAAGCATTAATATTTATAACTAAATTTAATTTATTAATTCTGGCATAGTTAGCAGCAAAATAGTCAGTTTAAAGGCGAGTGAGTTTTTAATTTTTATTTGATTCTAGATAACTTGGGCGCAATGAACTATAAAAAAAGAATTTTCCAGAACCGGGAAAATCATAAACACCAGTGGTGCAGTAGGTGTGCTAGATTTTGCCGGTTCTGGAAACGTCCACTGTGATTTTCATTGCTCAACCATGAAGTTGCAAAATTATTATAGGATATGATGCTTTTAAACATTTTGAAACGTACAGTCCTACAGACATAAATTTTTAGCTTTAAATGTTGCATAAAAATTAAAAAGGCATTCCAAAATAGCTCCCTTACAAGTAGATAAGATAATTAGCTTCTATGTTTTTTTTTATTCTTCTCAATTTTTCCTTATTAAACAAAGATTCTGGTTGCGGACAAAAATTGATTAATATATTAAATTAAAATTATTCTAAAATATTTTGAGCAAGGTCAGGTTTGCACAACCTGCTCAATTTCTGTGAGTCACCAAGATCTTTTTCCAACTTTTTAAGTGTTCTAATTCCGTCCGAGACACCCGGATCATCTTCAATTGTAAATCATCGTTTTTGCGCGCATTAACGCGTCGGCCGCCGAGTGGCTAATTTGGCCGCACTTCAACAATTACCCATGCAAAAAGTGCACGCTGACCTAGATCACGCTCAGCTCGCTAAAACCCGCCGTCAGACAATTTAGTCGAGAGAGGCCTCATGCCAGCGGCGTTTTTGTCTATTTTCAAAAGACCCAAAAAATCCCTAGACAATTTAATACATTTTTTCTCGTTTTTATTTTTTAAAGATTAAATATATAGTTCAACAATTTAACCTCGGCCACCGAAAACCACTAGCAGAGTAATTATTATTCATTTGAAAGCAATCCGTCTTCAAGTTAATGATCGGCAATAAAACTCAAATTATTTCTCCGTTCCGCCGGTAATTATTCCTGCCCCGGCCGAAAGGGCCCAGATGGAGATGCTATGCTGCGTGTTTGAATGTGTATAAGCTCTGTGTATTTGGGATGCACGTCTCGATCAGCGTTAATTATAACACAACCCAAGGAAGGGAAAGTGAAAGAGGAGAGGCGCAAAGCAAGGATCAAGAAAAAAAGAGTGAACTTGGTTCAAAATCAAATATTCTTAACTTCAAATCTTTCATTATTTTCACCATTGCTCAGTATCAAATTTTGAGTCTTGACAGCTTCTGATTTGAATATTTTTTTTTCAAATTAAACAATCAGAATAAAAAAAAGAACATTTTGTCGTAGAAAATTAGGCTTCTTTAATCGTTTCTGATACACTGTAAAAAAAGGACTTTTGACTCCAAAAATTAAAAATTAAAATTTGAGCTAATTGTAAATTAGACAGCCAGTTTTACAGGTAGTAATTAAGATTGAAACATGAAACTAATTGAAATTAATTTTTAAGTTTTTTTTATTGAGAGAACAACTAATTTTTTAAATAAATTTGTTTTCTCTTCAATAACCACTGGAATATTATAACATTTAAAAGATTTTTTTTGTTTCTCTTGAAAGAAAAATCTGCGGTCGGCTGTGGAAAAAAACGATTCAGGTGAAATCAATTGGGTTGCTTCGCGCCTCCCCGCCCAGTTTCCCGCAGCATAATTAGTGTACGGAGAGAGAGAAGAGATTTCGGGCGTTGCTAGGCGACTTTGTGGTCCGTCTGTCGGTGAAACGCAGTCTTTAGCTCTCCTGCATTCGATCACACCGGGGGAGACCACAAAGAGACACACACAGCAGCTCGCGGTGTTGATTTTTTCTTTCCTGCTGCTCTCGCGCGCCGCTACACAGGTCTAATTTTAGGTTTATGGAGTGAGTGTACGCGCGGCCATAAGATGCATTCTTCGGCCGACTACCGTGCTTCGTCTTGAACGCATCTAAAAATATTGTGTGACCCAGACGCGCACGCCGAGTTTGTTTGGTAAAACGAGAAAGACGGCAGAGAGCAATGGCAATAATCATAATGCGTGCAGGCTTAATGAAGTCGCTGACAGAAGTGGACTCCTGCCTCGTTGCCAGGCCAAAACCGTCCAGCAGCCAACCTGGAAGCTTGCCGCACCAAAAGGATAAACATCCAAGTTTTTTACCGCGGCTGCAGCAGTTTTAAAAAATATTTGAACAAAATAACAAAAGAAAAACTTCTTTATAGATTATTTGACATTTTAACTCCAATTATTGTATAGACGTGACGTATCGAAAATGCTGCGCAGTGCTAAAAAAAATTAGATTCTTTTTATTGATGAAATTGATTTTTAGCAAAACTTTGACAATTTTTTTAATTGCATTCAATGTGATAAACATATTTTTTGCAAATTTCAGAATAGTTACCATTTCAGAAAATAAATTTTCTTCGTTGAAACTATTTGTTTCTATATTATACTTTATTTGTAAGTAAATTTATAAAAAGGAAAAAATGAATGAAACAAGGTTGATCAAATGAAGAAATAAAGAAAGAGATTAAGACGTGTTTCAATTGTTTTTCTCAAATTCAAAATTCAACCACATTTGTTTTACCTTTCAAGATAAAATTCATTGCTTAAAACGTTATATTTTTTTTACACTGGAATCAAATTTATAGCTAAAAACGTCATTATTTAGTTTTGTGAGGACGTCTGCAGCAATAAATGTAAAAAAATAGCTAAAAATTTCCAAAAGTTCCTAAATTTAAAGTTTTAATTTCAAGTTTCTTCTCATTTCTTTTAAATATTATTAGAGTTTCTGTATTAACTCTGTCAGTCAATAAAGAAACATTTTATGCAAAAAGCAAAAAGCACAGCTTGTTAAAATTATAAATTTGAGCAGAGAATTAGCTCAATTTGTAACTAAATTAATAAAAAACAAGCATACTCTCGTTGAAATATTTTTTTAAACTTTAAATTTGTTTATTTACCTGACGTCAAGAAATTAAACTCTTTGTTTATGCAAAGACTTAATTAAAGCATCCAATTGAGGAAGCGGCAAAAGTAAACAACTCAATTGAAAAAAAACTTCAATAGGCAGTCTGTAAACAAATCATTAGGCATATGAATTATTTGCACCTCCGTCTGTCACTTCACAAGACGAACAGATCAAATTGAAACTCGCGAAATTTTTCCACGGCGGTCGCGTGCCGTCGACGTTGGCCGGAGTACTTAATTAGCTCCTCTCTCTGCCCGACAGACGCCAAACCACGCCCTTATGATATACAAACACGGCACTTTAATTGTTGCTTTGTCGCGTGGTGTTTGGTCATCGTGCGTCCACTGTCAGTCTGCTGTACCACCCCGCGACTATTTGTACTTGTCACGTCGGAGGATCTCCGCTCCAAATGGCGCGGATTGCACTTCCGAGCGCACCGACGGCCGCTGACCCTTCACTTTTTACACGGCAGCATGTTTGATGAGAATAATTATAAAAAAAATTTATGTGAAAACTGTCACTATTATTTCAAATATGAAAAATTGTCTGTCAAACAAGTCAAAGTGAGATAAAAACTACATTTTGTTGTGACAAATTGTTTTCGTCCTTCTTTTAACAGTTTTGCTATATTATTTATAAAATTATGTTCTAGCTGCAGAAAAATTTCAGTTTTATTTTATTTAAAAATTATTGAAACGATACAAAAATTAAACTCATTCAAAATATTTTGACTTTCTGGAATTAACTGCGGGAATTATAGACAAGGATAAAGATCATTTTGCACACTTTGCTTCTTGAGTAAAAGTAAAGTGATAAAAACTGAAATTTTTATTTTTAATTAATCTGGTTTGCACAAGGCATATTTGTGACCTATTTTAAAATTTAAATTTAAATATAATTGACGTTAAAATCCTGAAATTTCACCCTCATTTTAACGCGATCAGTGGCATAAAAACTGTGCAGAACACATTAATTTCCTTGGCGAAAATGTCCAATAGCCCTGAGGCATTTTGCATGAAAGACGTCCTTTGTGCTGACAAATCGGCGTTTGGCCCGGAATGAAACGGGCGTCGGCTTCGCACGCCGCGTGCCAAAATATTCGCGAGCGCGTGAGCCGCCGATGCCTGAGGTGAGCATTTTTTGCCCGACAACAAAGAGAGCGAGAGACACTAGAAAAGTCACATAACAATCTGCAGCTAGACGGCGACACGTTTTTTGGCACCGGCAGACTCGGGCCAACCACGCGAAATCCGCGAGTTCTGGGGGTGGCGCGCGCCGCGTGTGCTAATTTTTATTCCTGAACCGTCAAGTTTCGCGCTCTTCTTTGCGCAGACCTTTTAAAATATAAATATCTCAGTGTGAATTGTTACATTGTGAGAGAGCGGAGGAGCGTGTTTCTTGTTGCGGAAAGAGAGAGAAAGAAACAGAGGGTCGCTATATAACAAAAATACACGCGAGCGGGGCAAAGAGAAAAGAGGGAAGACACCCGAAAAGGC